GAAGAATGCCATGATTTGAAATCTGTAGTGCGCGCTCTTCATTTAAGGAGTTATTTACGTCGGACGAAGATGGGTCCGACGTAAATGAGATAATTTATGTCGGCTGCTTTAGCTGTCCGACGTAAATTATCTCATTTACGTCGGACCCATCGATGTCCGACGTAAATTTCCTCCTCTTATTTATGGAACTGCCACCGCGTTTTTACAACGTCGGGTGTGCTAGTTTCCGACGTAAATGAAGAGACGTAGTAGCTCCTTTTTCCACTAGTGTTAGTTTAATTGCTTTTAAGGTGCATAAACTTTCGTGGTTTTGTTGCCAATGCCACAAACATTAGGCGTTGATTAAATGTCACCTAGTGTGAGGAGAGATATTCATTTTTTGTTTGGATTTGCATTTGGTGCTAACGTATGTGGCGTTAAACATAAGTTACACAAAGGCCCTCTGCCTAATTAGGGTCGGGCATGAGTTTTGTCATACCAGACACGAGAGAATAGGAGACTCTTTGACTCAATGACATTAAGTAAAGAGAAACCTAGGCCCACCAAACCCATTGAGCTCGCTGAGCTCAGAAGCAAACAAAAATCCAAAGGCCCATGAAGCCCAAAACTAGGCCCAATAAGCTTAAAACCTAAAAATTCTTATACTAAGGCCCATAATACAAGACCAAACAATATAAACTCCTACACTACCAAATATATGAGAAAGGTGGTCATCAATGTAAAGCCCAAGTAAAGAGAACCCTAGGCCCACCAAACTCATTGGGCTCACTAAGCTCAGAAGCAAAGAAAAGCCCAAAGGCCCATGAAGCCCAAAATTAGGCCCAATAAGCTTAAAACCCAAAAGGTCTTATACTAAAGTCTTATACTAAGGCCCATTAGACTTTTTGGGTTTTAAGCTTATTGGGCCTAGTTTTGAGCTTCATGGACCTTTGGGCTTTTGATTGTTTATGAGCTTAGTGAGCCCAATTGGTTTAGTGGGCCTAAGGTTCTCTTTACTTGGGCTTTACATAGATGACCACCTTTCTCATATATTTGGTAGTATAGGAGTTCATATTGTTTGGTCTTGTATTATGGTTTTAGTATAAGACTTTTTGGGTTTTAAGCTTATTGGGCCTAGTTTTGGGCTTCATGGGCCTTTGAACTTTTGTTTGCTTCTGAGCTCAGCGAGCCCAATGGGTTTGGTGGGCCTAGGATTCTCTTTACTTAATGTCATTGAGCTAAAGAGTCTCCTATTCTCTCGTGTCTGGTATGACAAAACTCATGCCCGACCCTAGTTAGGCAGAGGGCCTTTGTCTAACTTATGTTTAACGCCACATACGTTAGCACTAAATGCAAATCCAAACAGAAAATGAGTATCTCTCCTCAAACTAGGTGACATTTAATCAACGCCTAATGTTTGTGGCATTGGCAACAAAACCACGAAAGTCTATGCACCTTAAAAGCAATTAAACTAATGTAAATCAAATTTAAAAATATTTGGTAACATCATTTTTTTAAGACAAAAATGTTGAGATATATAACTAAAACTAACAAATTTTTGCAATAATTTAAATGAGAGAAAATTATATTTATAATAGAAAGTTTTGTTTGGTGTTATTTTCTAATTAGAATTAGAAATTTACGCATATAATTAATGTAAACCTCTAATTCTAATAGAAAAGCATTATCTATTGAAAAAATATACTTAAATTTTAAATGTAATTTAGTAGAATGAAAAAAAAATATTATTTTGCTTAAAAAAGGTTTTATGACAAATATATAGTTAGAATGGCCCGTTCCGAATTCAGAACGGTCCGTTCTAGTTTAACTAGTCATGTGTTATTTTTGAATCTGGAACGGGCCGTTCTGATTTCGGAACGGGCCGTTCTGATCCATTCTTCATGCGTTTTTTTTCATCGGCCCGTTCTGATCCATTATTCATGTGTTATTGTTTCATCTGGAACGGTCCGTTCTGAAATTAGAACGGCCCGTTCCGAACGTGAGTAGCAGTTGTGTCAGTACATCATAACACGTGTTTTTTTTGGGTAATTTAAAAAAAAATATTTCAGTAGAAAATTCGAAAATTTTTATTTAGATGAATCTTATGGTCAAAACTAATGGTTTACCATGCACTACTTGTTAAAGTGGTGTATCATAGATCCCACCTTTAAATAAACTGGAGACTATTATTTAAAATGATATAATTAATGAGGGTTAAATAGTAAATATTAAAACATTCTTAAAAAATACAACTTTTGACAAAATTAACACATGTCATTCTTTATGTGGTCCTAGTCAGAGAGAGTTTTGGTACCCTCTAAAATAAACTTGCACTAAAGGAAATGCCTATTCCTATATGTCCCCACCCCCACATGCCTTTTTTATATGGCTTCCACTACCAACTCATAATCTCAGCCATTTGTCCCCATCCTTATTTGCCACCTACACTCCTCTTTCCTCCTTCCTTTATCAAATTATCTCCTTCCTTCCATGCATCTAGTTACATAAGGCTTGAATGCATCAGGCCAATTCAAGCCTTAAGACATGTAGCTGGGCTGACCATCCATTGATCAAAACTATAGTAAAATAGTTCGTTGTTGATCTTTAGCTATGACCAGACCATGTAATCAATGTTATTTTTCAACCTCTTCACATCTACATTTTCCCCTTTGAAAATTTTGTTGTTCCTACAACGCCATATGCACCATATTATATCACTCCTTATAATATCCCACTTTGACCTTTCTCGTTGGGTAAGACAGAGATATGGGTACTGACATACATTTTCAAGCGTTGATAGAGGAAGAACAGTTGATATTGAGATCCAAGACCAGCAGTGGTTCCATACTTTATCAGTAATCCGGCAACAGAAGAACAAATGAGAAGAAGTTTCTTGTACTTTGTGAAGTCCCACATCGGTTAGGAAGGAGAACGAAGCATGCCATATATATGGGTGTGGATACCTTCCTTGTGTGGACGCGTTTTGGGGTGGCATGCGTGCCATTGCCAGAAGCAAAATCGTGAGGGCTGCGGCCAAAGCGGACAATATCCACATGCGGGTTGCTGGGCTGTTACATTTGGTATCAGAGCCTGGACTCGGGCCGGTGTGCCAGCGAGGGCGCTGGACTCCCTTGAGGGGGGTGGATTGTGAAGTCCCACATCGGTTAGGAAGGAGAACGAAGCATGCCATATATATGGGTGTGGATACCTTCCTTGTGTGGACGCGTTTTGGGGTGGCATGCGTGCCATTGCCAGAAGCAAAACCGTGAGGGCTGCGGCCAAAGCGGACAATATCCACATGCGGGTTGCTGGGCTGTTACATACTTCATTACAAAATGCACAACGCCCTTGAGAGTCGCTTAACATAACACCTCTCGAATGCAAATTTTTTATTGTTGGTAGGGTGTTTTGAACCAATCTCCACATTAGAACTGCTGCTGTCGGTGGTATTTTCAGTTGCCAAAGCCCTCCACATACTCTGTTAGTTTGGCCAATATGTTGTTAATTATGAAAGGCAGTATATGCAGAATGAACTAAGAAATCCCCCGTGCTATCAGCCAACCACACCCACTTGTCTTGATCTTGTTTTACTAGGTTTACTTGTGATAGTAGTTGCTGGAAGGTAGACCATTGTATTTGGTCTCTTTGAAGCTAAGTCCTCCTCCAATAGAACTGCCAATTCCACTCATTCTCTACCCAATTACCCATGTCTACCAATTTATTATGCTTTTGGTTAGAGTTGATATAGAACCGAGGGAATGCATTCATTAAGTTATCACCTCCTAGCCACGAGTCTTGCCAGAACCTTATCTTTCTACCACCACCTATTTTTCACCTCACTAATTTATCAAACCATTGTTGCTGGTCTTGTCCGCCACAGGTCTTTTTCAAGTCTGTCCACCATTCTGAAGAGAATCTTGCTTGTCTTCCATCACCCACATCAGCTAGGCTAGAATATCCACCATATTTTGAGGTCAATACCTTTCCCAAAAGGCTATCTTCATGGTTAAAAAGGTTCCATCTCCACTTAGCTAGAAGTGTTGTGTTGAAACTCCGTAAGTCCTTAATACCCAAACCTCCCATACTCTTTGGCATTGTGACTTTATCCCACCTAACCCAACAAATTTTCTTCACATTTTCATCCCTACCCTACAGGAAATTTCTTTGGATGCTCACTATCTCCTTAAGTACTATTGTTGGTAATCTGTAGAAAGATATAAAGTATAGAGGGGTGGATGACAAGATAGAGTTTATCAATGAAATTCTTCCAGTTAGAGAGATTGATTTGTTCTTCCATGTTGCAAGTGTGTTCCTTAATTTTACTAACATCGAGTGCCATGTGGAAGTTTTCCTTGCAGTCGCCCCTATTGGCAAGGCTAGGTAGGTGAAAGGAATGGTCATAAGTTTACAATTCAGCAGATCAGTATACCTCTCCAATGTGTGCCTGTCCACTCCTACTGCTCCAAGTCTACTTGTATAGAAGTTCACCTTGAGCCTAGAGATTAACTCAAAACATCTCAACATACACTTTATTGATATCACATTTTCCACTAAGTGTTCTCCCAAGAAGACTGTGTCATCAACATATTGGAGGAGATTTACTAGAATCAAGTTCTCACACACTAAATACCCATAAAACTTTCCTTTCTGAATTACGTTTTGCATTAGACCTGTGAGGCCTTCTATCACTATTGTGAAAGGAAAAGGGGCGAGTGGATCGCCTTAAAATGTAAAAAAATTTATTTTTAGAATGCAAAAAATTTAAAAATTAAGTTAGAGATGGTTTTAGAAAAAACATATTTATTTATCTTAATAAATAAAAATTAATTTTTCTAGAATAAGTTATTTCAATCCTCAGAAGTAGTATCAAGTCAGATAGATATGGCAGATTTTGAACTTAGAAAATTACTGGCGCAGATAATCCAGGTTGTAACTTTCTTCTTTAGTCTGATATCACATGTTTGACCATCAAATCAGTCGTCAAGGCGAATAAATTTAAACACTTCTAATACCATAAATATATTAATTAAAGTTTTTAATCTCCATTACCCGGTAATCTTTCAACATTTATTCTTGAAGGTGTTTTTTAACCAATTACAAACAGAAATTTCTAAATACAACATATATAGTAACATATACAATTATGAATTATGAAGCATTCAATGGAAAAGAACCCACGTTGAGTCTCAATTATCCAATGCTAGAATATTGGATATGGCATTATGCATAGTTGATACGGAACATGTCAGTCATGACATAAAACCCTCCCTGCGATGTTGAGACCAAATGGAAAACCTGACTGAACTTGAGATGTTGTTGTTGTTGGAGAGGGAGTTGGATGCTTCCGGTGACGAACACAAGCAAACCGTCATTGACGCCGGAGGGCTGCCAGTCGACGGTGGAGACGGAGTGGTAGCACCGCTGGAAAGGGAGGGAGGTGAGTTTTGCAACAACGTTGGAAGCGCCTCGGATCTTCTGGCCTTCGAAGGTGAGCGTAGAATCTTCTCCATAAAGATTCTGTAAGTTTCCTCGGTTGGTGTCGAAGGTGGTGTAGTAGTGCTCCACGAATGCTGTTACCAAAGTGTCTCCTCCGTTGGTGTAGTAGTGTTCTACAAATGCCTTTGCCCAAATGTCTGGATCCATATTCTCTATATCTCTCATTCCCAAAGCAGATTCAATGGCCGAAAGTATTTTATGTCTTTTTTCAGCTAACATGTCATGACCTGTACGTATAATAATAATAATAATAATAATCCTATAAGTAAATTATACAGATACTTCTCAAGTTATGATATTACACAGCTATTTACTTCTTCTTTTTTAACATTTATGATAAGAGACATTAGTGTTCGGTCTAACAAATGATAAGAAAATCTAATCCATATGCATCATAATAAAATTGTCATGCAATCTATAGTGATACAAAAATTATTATTAAAAATTATTTTTATTTACACAATAAATATAATATATATTAATATATTATTAAAAAATATGAGTATAAATTATAATAACATATAAAATATATTATTAAAATTTATTTAAAATTAACATTAAAATTATATATAGTTATATTTCAGATAGATATATACTTACATATATTATACTTATAATAACACTTTTTATACATCACTATATATAATATTTCTTGTATTGACGTAATAAGAGATATTTATCAAACACTCTGTTTAAAAATAATGATGAAAAATGATGTATTATAAAAAGATTAATTTAAAAAAAAAACTTTATAATTTTTTTTAAAATAATATCATTGATGGATAATAGTTTCTAAAAATATTATCATTTAATATAATTATTTTAATTTATAAAAATAAAAATATTCATTATCACGTATAAAAGATTTTTTTGACTTTTATAATAATTAATCTAAAGGTTACATCTGAGAATTTACTTATTTATTAATAATATGAAAAATTATACATGAATAATATATATATATATAAAATTAAAATCTTAAAAGTAATTAAAACTCACAACAGCACATTGTCTTTCAATCATATATACCAACATATACAAACCAAATTTAGCACAAATCAATCTATAATTTCATTAATATGTTTTCTATATGTTTTAGAGTAAATTACGGTGATACTTTCTGATGTTTCCGGAAATTACACCGAAACATCTTGCTTTTTTAATATTTGCAATAGTTTCTCCAAAAGTCATAATATAATATTTTTCAAATAATTAAAGGGATTTAATATTGTAACGTTTGAAGGATGTTAGTGTAATAATGCTTTTCAAATAATTAAGAGGGTTATTATAAAGGTAAAAAATGTAGGAGGAGTTTATGTAATTTCACAAAACATCAAGAAGTGCTAATAAAATTTATTCTACATTCTAAGGAGGCATTTGTTTCGAGTAATAAATTTTATTTTCAGAATATAAAGGTAAGAATATTTATTATCGTATTTATTAAAAGGTTGTAAAAAAAAATTTCAAGCATATCTTATCTTAGGAATGTATATAACATTAATTCATATTTGATATGTTTATCATTCTCATGTCGAAAAATGGGTATTATTATCATTCATGTTTTTCTTTTTCTTATAAAAACTTCTATCCATTTATTATTCTCCCTTTCTTCATTTATTTTCATTTTTTAATTAAATAAAAAATAATTTTCTCTAAAATTAATTAATGTCCACCAAACATATTCATACGAATAACATTTCTAGGTATAATATTTTTGGAAATGAGATACTTAAAAATACAATTATACCTTAAAACAAATACCCTTAAAAGAAAATAGTTTATCCACTAATTTTACATTGTCATCACATAGCTAATTACTAAAGATCAAGTTTATTAATTTTTACACTAACTATGTAATAAATCATTTTTACCATGACTATTGACCGCTCATATTCTAGTTACATATTAGAGAAAAAAAAGAATGTAATTAAAAAAAGTCATTCATGATAAGAGAACTTTGTGTTCTTTGATTAATTTACTTCCCTTCCTTAGATCGAGCCTTTCAAAAATGCAGCAATATGACTTTTAATTAATAACCACAAAAAAGGATCATCACGAACTATATCTATCAAAGTCTTCCTTACAAAGTTGGAGCGTTCCCTCTCGTATACATATAGTTTATAAATTACCTATCAAGTTAAAGGGAGATATTTAAAATAAGATGAAATGAAGGGAAACTCACTTGAGAAGAAAATATGGCTCTCATCAGTGGCAGAACATAGTACAAAGAAAGTTAACAGAATGAAGGAGAAGCCCACGCCATTAATGCGAACTCCAAATCCCATTTTTTTCCCTCTCTTTAAGCTACCTATTTGGGTCAAGTAGTAGTACCAATCCATGATTGTATTTATAGACGAGAGAGGAATATGCCTCTAAAGTCTCTAGGACACGTGTATCAAGACTATTGGATGGGGAAGTTGACTCTCCTAAATGCAAATTAAAATGTACAAGTTGTGATGTGTTAGGTTCATCAACCTCTAAACAGACAAACATGACAATATCACACAACTTTAACGTAAGGTCAACGGCCAAACAATACACAATGATGGTAGTTCTAGTCATACATTAATATTGGTACTTGTAAAATTTTATTCGGACCTTTTTATAAGGATTTTTTTTTATATAAACAAAATGGTAATGGATTTTATATTAATACTTGGATACCGGTAACTGATGTATGTAGGTAAATATACACTCAATTAAGATATAGTTTAAAGTCAAGAAAAAATTCTGCAAAATTTCATGACGATAAATGCAAGTATAAGTATCAAAGCTCCATTTCTCTCTCTCTTTATATATATAAATATATTTGATAACATACACAAGTTCCATTTATCTCTCTTTATTTATATAAATATATTTGATAACATACACTTACTTTTGTTTCTTAGTTGGAATAAAGTAACAAAGTTACCACATAATCTCCCTTCACCTTTACCAATGATTTAGGAAAATGACAGAAAACAACCAGTTATTCTTTGTGTTGCTACTATGCCAAGTACTATATATTTCTAGATTTTCACTCCCCACTTTGGCCACTGACCAAAAACCCCTTTTGGATTATCACGTTCCAAAAGATTTTCCATTTGATTCTAAGAAAAACTTTGGAGAAATCATTAATTTCTCGATACTATCTAATGAAGTATGTGTGTAACTATGTTGGGATATATATCGATATGGAAGGAAAACAAAGAAAGGGGAAGTTGGTGACGAAGATGAAGAAATTGAGAAGAGACGAACTGATTGAGTTGCCTGACTCTGTTCTGCTACATATAATGAAATTCATGGACACAAAATATGCTATTCAGACTTGTGTTTTGTCAAAACGATGGAAAAACCTTTGGAAAAGTCTCACCAATCTCACATTCAATTCTTCACACTTCAGCACACTAAACAAGTTTACCAAATTTGTGTCCTTTGTTCTGTCTAATCGAGATGACTCAATTTCCCTTCTTGATCTAGATTTCAAGCGCCATGGTTCGGTTGAGCCCAAATTCCTAAATAGACTCATCAAATATGTTGTGTTGCACAATGTCCAACACTTGACAATTGATGCAAAGTTAAGTTTCAGAGCAAATTTTGAGTTTCCCTCTTTCATCTTTAATTGTCAATTTTTGTCATCTCTTAAGCTTTGCATTAAGGGTGTTGCTTCAATGAAAATGCTTCCCAAATCTCTGCAATTGCCAGCACTAAAAATCTTGCATCTTGAGTATTTCACTTTTACTGCATGTGACAATGACTTGGCTGAACCATTTTCATCTTGTTACATGTTGAGTAGTTTGGTCATGGGACATTGTTCTTTGCATAATGATGCAAAACGTCTCAGCATATCTAATTCCAAACTTTCTAGTTTGACTATACTCAGTTCCTTTGAGGGAAGAGTTCGTGATACTTCACTTTCTACTCCAAATCTTGTTTCACTCACTATCATGGGTTATTCTAATCAGCAACTCTCCTCCACATGCAATCTTTCTTTCCTTGAAGAAGTGAATATTCATGTGGTTAGGAACACTGACTTTGTTACTATAATAAGCTGGTTGCAAATGTTTGCTAATGTAAAAACAATGACACTCTCTTCAAGTACCCTTGAAATATTACTAAAGGTAAGGTTTATGTCAAATTTTTTCCATTACTCAATATTGAATTGCAAGAATATATCCATCAAATTATGTCTCCAATTTTGTAGGATCTCTCAAATCCGGGTTTGGTGAAAAGTCAACCTCCTTCCTTTGCTAGGTTAGAGTCACTGAAAGTGGAAATGAAACAATATTCAAGAATATCTGATAAGAATAAAAAACTGACATCGCAGTACTTGCTTCAAAACTCTCCATTCGACACAATTGATATCATAAATTACTGAAAGTGATATCTTTATAATAAAGTTTGTGCTTCATTTTCTCCTTATCGACTATTAGATCAACAAATATTAGTTTTCTATTTAGTTTGTTTTTGGCCTTTATATGTTGTTCTATAAAGACCATCTATCTTGTATTTGGTACGCAATTATCATTCTATTATAGATGTATTCAGTTTTAGAAGTTTTCTCCGATAATATTGACTTCATCTTACAGAAAATTAACTATAGGGTGCTTTATTGTGAGAGTGATGTTTATACCATTCATTATGATGTTCTTATTTACTATTGATTGAAGAAATATTTGAAGTTTAAGAAATTATCACTATGAAGAACAATGTGTTTTGAAACATAGTTTTTTTATTCTTTTGACATTAGAGAATGATAGTAAGTAAAATCTTCTGCAACTGAATTGATCCATGCGGCATAAAAAACTACATCCAAATAAAAAACAAGCTCAACCTGTATGAACTAGCTAGAGTCCATGTCCATCCAATTATTGCCAACTAAATGAATCCAAAAATGACCTCGAAAATTTTTAACCAGATGAGATGAGCAGCAGTATAAATCACCAGGTTTGACATGAAAGCCACTTCTTAATAAGTTAATATTTATAAGAAAATGTTAACATTAGTTCTTAGCTTGATTTGAAGCAACAAAAAAATGTTAAGATTTTATAGGTACATAAAAATTTTGTTCAAATTTAATTTGTACATAGGAGCAAATATCTATACTAATTCAAAATTATTTCTTTTACATATTGAACGCATGAATTAACTAGTCTGGAATTTAAATATTAGATATATAATTGTGTTAAATATTTATAGAAAAAAAATTGTCAACTCTAGTTATTTTATCTAACTTGAATATTACTAACTCTGATAAAGGATACATGTGTTATAGACAAAAAAAATATATTATAGATTTGATTTAAATATTTAATGTAACGATCTAATTAATATATTTATTTATCATAGTATTTTTTTTAAAAGTTATATCTTTTTACAATATTTTTAATTATTATTTTATGTTTTAAGTATTATTTTTTATTTAAAATTAATACTTTTATATTATAATTTTTAACTACATAATGCACAAATCAGTGAAATCATCATAGTAAGGAGTTTTCATATATGACTTATTCCTTTTTAAGATGAAGGTTGATTTTACATCACCATTAATCCATGAGATGGATTAGATCACAATGAATTCTAAAAGAGGGTTTTCTTTCATTCACCAAATGGGAAGGGCTTAGGGCTAGGCCCTGTTCCTGGGTGATCATCATCCACACTGATCTTCATCTTTCGGTTCTCTGTAAAAGAAACACCCAAATTACATCACTATTCTATTACCTATGTATGTATTGGAAAAGAAATAGGAATAATAAATAAATAAATAAATAACTGCAATAATAGAAGAGGGGAAAACAATGCAATGCTCTTAGTTTCCTTTAAATATCTTTCTTAAAAGAAATTCCTACTTAAATATAATTGGAAACAAAATATGACACTATATATTTGAATTATGATGTACAGTTTCTATCTTTATAATTCAACGAGTGTCTTTAATTACTGTTCTCCATTAAAAATAAAAAGATTAGACACTAATAGTTAAACTTAATATTTTACTTTAGATAATTAGATAACTAGTTTTCTTTAGAAAATAACTTCGTATTAAAGGAATTTTTAGAAACTTGAAATTATCAAATTCAATTAAAGAAGAAAGCTTGAATTTTAGAGACTTGTTTTAAGAATAAACACCAAATTTGGTCTCTAAAAAACAATAAAGATAATCTTGAAGATTTTTTGTGGCATTTGAAATTTTTGTAGTCGATGGGAGAGAAGTTAACTATTACTTGTTGTTAGCATTCTTAAATTTTGAATATATATATAGGGGAGAATTTGACTCTTTTCTGGCTTACTTTAATGCAGAAAAATAATATTTATTGTCTTATATATATATATATATATATAT